TCTTTTTCTTTTTTTTTTTTTTTGTGGGCTTCAGTCAACCATGGTCTGAAAATGTTAAGTGGAGAACTTCAGAAACAATTCAGAAGTTTAAAGTAGCTTTTATTACAATATTGTATTGTATTACAATATATTGCTAAAATTGCTCTACTTTATTACAAGTTGTTAATCGTTTACTATGTCTAACTTATAAGTTAAACTTTATTGTAAGTAAGTAGATTATACATCAAGATCAGCACTCATCACTCTTTTGGGCATCTACCAGGTGTCTCAAAATATATCCGTTGTAGAGGAGAAGGGCTCACTGTACTAGAGACAGAACAAATAGGGTGATCGAGCAGAGACTATCTGACAGCTGCCAGGTGCTTATTCTCATGGGGATCATGGGTGCCCTGATCCTGGGAGACACTGAATCTGAGAGCCAGACAGGCAGAGATCCTGGAACCCATTGGAGAGCTATCTGGAAGTAAAGCTGACACCTGCCTAGAATGGAGGAGAAAGCGGTGGGGAGAGGGGAAGCCAGGATTTCTGGAGCTCTCTTACTGAGGGAAGATAGCCCAATCTCTTCTGAAAGCGAGACTTTTAATGACCTGGGTAGAATGTACCCTCAGAAGCCAAGCAGACAGATGGGTAGAGGTCTCGGAAGTCCCAGGGAGAGGTCTCAGTCAAAGAAACAAATTTTGAAGAAATTTTTTTGCACAGTTGCTGCCAGACTACTCAAGCATTAATAAATACTTATGAAGTGACGGATTGATAATTCAGAGAAAGGGCAAGCGAGACTTTTGTTTCCTAGACAATGTTTTGAGTGGCAAGGAGTATTCTGGAAAATTCCTATATAATGCCAGGTGCTGTGGTGGCTGGGTAAGTATTAATTTACAATGATGAATCTTGAGAAAGCAATGGACCATTATTTCCATGGCTGACTCTGACTGGCATAATTGGCACCGTTGTTCAGCTGCTGGCACCTTCTGTCTCTTCATCCTGGGCATCTTGCTCTGTTCCTTACCACTGCCACTTTGCTCTCACATTCGGCGACTATTGTCATCATCCTGGCTGTCCCCAGAGACAGTCTCAAAGCCTTTTCTCCACGGTGAACCTGCGTTGGCTCTTGCTCATTACCCGAGTACCTGTTGTGTGTCAGACACCACACTAGATGCTTGTCACATTTGTAGCAAAGCAGATCTCTAACCTTGGGTTTGGCTTCTATCACTCCAGAAGAGTAAAACAGATGGCAAGTGATTGGCAGAGCAAGAAGTCAGGAGAAGTCCACGCTGCCTCCGCAGCTGAGCTTCCCCATTCCTGGCTTGGCTAGCTATTCAGATCTTGCCTATGGAGTCAGCCTGCTCTCCTCACACCTAGCAGCTCAGAAAAACCTGTCAGGAAATGATACTGTGGCTAGCAATTGATTCACAAGTCAGGCTGACCTGAAATTTATCCTGGAGTCACAGTGTCTCCTATCTCTCTCACTCTGGACATCATTTTGCATTCACGCGTGTGTGTATTGATCCAGGAAAGCCGAGGCTCCTATCCTGAGAGATGCAGAGCCTGGGATGATGTAAACAATGAGAGAGAGAACAAGGCTATAAGGATGTGGAGCCAGCCAGTGAGGGACCAGGGCAGAGGAGTGGGAGGAGATGGGCTGAAGATGAAGAAGGAGGGAGCAGAGCTGTGTGGAGGGTTGAACCAGAAAAACATGTACATCAGAAGCCAGTACTCCTTGTTCAAACAAAAACCTTACAAATTAGTGCACATGCTACAAGAGCTTCACTCTCTGCCCATACAGTCCATTGAGAAGACATTCTGTCTTCAGTAGGCAGGTTCCCCCAAGAACCTGCATCACAAGGCAAAGTGATGTTTCACTAAACAGTGTCTTTATTAGGAGCGTTGGAAAGGAAGTTTGGCCTCCAATCCCAAGAGCCCGGATCCTGGGAGGCTCAGGATTTAGACAGAAAACACTCACAGTTAACATAACACTGGAGGACAACCAACGTTGGGCCTATTGTTACCATTAAGAACTGCACCTGTTCCCCCAGAAAAGTCCACCCATACACCTGACACCTGCCTTACAGGCTGGCCACAGGCAGCCTGCTGGGGAAATAGAACTGATGGATACTCACTCCACACTAGGTTTCATGTGCCATGGGATATAGAACTTCTAAGGATCAGCTACCTGTAGATCAAACACCAACTGGCAATCATCTACTTGAGACACATTAGTCAAGGTGGAGAGAGGAAAAGCATGGTTTAAAATGCAGGGAAGCCTTAAAACCACACCGTACTGTATCCTTGGATGCAGCTGGGGGTGAGGACTGCATGGCAGATCCTCAACATCCTGGATATGTGAAGAACATCACCTGAAATTCAGATAGAGTTTCTGTGACATGGGAACAGAAAGCTGTCATGGTTGCCAGGATTTTGAGATACAAGGTTCTCTCTCTCTCTCTCAGTTAAAGCCTTAAACACACACATTCACACACTTACGTTATCATTTTGTTCTCATTTATTAAGATATTCAAACTAACAGAAGCCCACGTTCTGTGCCACAGTTTACACACCTGGACTAACAGTGTTCCATATACATCTTCGGACACTGAACAATGACTCTTTACCGTCTTTTTTTTTGGGGGGGGGGGGTTCAAGGCAGGGTTTCTCTATGTGGCTTTGGAGCCTGTCCTGAAACTTGCTCTGTAGACCAGGCTGGCCTCAAACTCACAGAGATCTGTCTGCCTCTGCTTCCCGGGTGCTGGGATTAAAGGCATGAGCCACCATCACCTGGCCAAACATTCACTATTAGAAGCACTGGTGTTGGTGGTGCTCAACTTTGCTAGTGAGCTTCTGTAACTGCCTCCAGTGTAGTTCTTAATTATATTTAAATTCTTAGTTGCATTCTAAATTTTATTTTGATTTCATTTGATTGTATGTATTCATGTGTGTTCCTGTATATTGGTACATGCATGTATGCGCATATGTAGATATGTATTTGTGGTCCTGAGGGCAACTGTAGTTTTATTATGCAAGATCCATCTACCTTTCTTTGAGAGAAGGTCTCTCAATGGTCTGAAAATTACCAAGTAGGCTAGGTTGGCTGGCTAGTCAGAAAGGGCCAGGCATTTTCTTATTTCTGTGTCCTCTTTGGGTGACTGTTCAGGCAGTGAGATGTCTCTGTCAATTCTAGAGTTTTGGAAGTTTCTTACAATGTACTTCCTGTTTATTTAGGTAACACTATATCTTCTGGAGTCTTTGATGGAGCTGAAGAATAGATAATCATAATTATTGTTTTCCTTAGTTATGATAAAAGTAGATACAAACATTGTAACTATAATTTTTGCTTAATACCTCTTTTCTTATGTAATTTTACTATGTTAATGTTAAAACCTTCCTTTTTATTTAAACAGAAAAGGGGAGGTGATGTGGGATTCCCCTCTTTATGCTATGAATACCACTTGTTAATAAAGAAACTGCTTTGAGCCTATTGCAAAGCAGGGCAGAACTTAGTGAGGCGAGGAAAACTAAACTGAATGCTGGGAGAAAGAAGGCTGAGTCAGAGAGAAGCCATGTAGCCCTGCTGGAGACAGAAGCCCGAACTTTATGCAGTAAACCACAGGCTCATGGTGATACACAGAACCTACATCTTGCTGGTATCCTGAGTGATGAACAAAAGAGGGCAGTGGAAACCTCTGTGAGCTTGGTGGCATTTTTATGAGTGAGTATATTCTGAAAGCTATTTTCAGGATTGAAACATAGTTACTTTCCACAAATAGCTTTATTATTTAAAAAATTTCAGGTAAATTTGATAAAACCACAATAATTTGCTAACTAGGATACTGGAAATACCCATGTATTTTTCAGTTTTGTAATGTGTTTTCTGGAAACATTTCATAACTGAGCATGTTAAAAAAGCCAAAACATGACCTTTTACACCTGGTCACATGTCACAGATGGAGAGGTCAAAAGTCCTAGAGGTTAAGGCACAGCTTTTGCTTTGCTCAATGGACATGATATAACTAACCATCAAATTGCCTTCTAAACAACTGTGTATACCCAAGGATTGCCATTGTTGTCATCTTTGCTTAGAGAACTGTTTTTGTTTGTTTGCTTGTTTTGTTTTTGAAAGTGTGAAGACCATTAACTGCAGCGGCTCCCGTCAGACTGCAAAACTTAAATGATTGTTGAATGCCATGCAACAAACAAAACATCACAGCTCAGGTAGCATCGCTGAAGAGAGGGCGGGAAGAACGTAAGAGCAGGAACAAGGAGTAGAGTGTTCATCTCCTGGGTGTGATATGACTGCGGGCATCCTTGGCCTCGCAGCATCTGTGAAGCCTGCACGACACCTCAGGCTCTGCACAGAGCAGGCCTGTCAATCTCTGTCACCCAGGGAGAAGGTGTTCATGAGGCCCCACCCCTCTCTTAAGATTCATGGACAGTTAACAGTTGTTAGGAGCGCTAGAGCCATCCTCTTCAGCAGTGTATAGCTTTCTGTATGGTGCCCATGCTCCTGCAACCAGCCCTAATGAAACTAACCAGACACCCCCCCCCCATACACACACACACAGGGTGGATGATGGGGCTTGTTGGGAAGAAGGAGATCAGTGGGATGGGGACAAGAGGGGTATGGCAGTGACGACACTATATACATGTATAAAAGGTCCCAGTGACACTAGTAATTGCATTTAATTGATATATACTAATAAATAGTCACTAAAAGAAGCAGAACAACTGTAAGACAGAACAATCATATATCTTATGGCATTTACAAAGAGTTTAGTTTGTCTCTGCATTTGTTAAAAATGTGAGTCATTCCATTCTCGGTTTGTAAAACCAGATTTGAGATAACATGCAATTTCAAGATAGAGTTATGAAGATATTCAATTTGGTGACACCGTGCCAAACGTTAATAGAAATCACCCCCCAGGAAACCCGAAGTCCCTCCAGCATCGCTGGCCCCGTGCTGCCAATTCATCACACTTAACAAGGTGTACAGAGAAGAGCTGAGTACCGACCTCCCGGGGACAAATGATCCTCTTGGGACGAGGCGCCTCTTGCTGCAGCTGATACACTGCCAAAAACAAAACAAAACAAAAAAAGATGATTATAATTAGGCAACCACATTGCATAAGCAATACAGCTTCACATATTCTCAGTGAGGTTCATCCTCAGGACAATATAGATAGAAATCACCACCACCAACAACAACCAAAAAAAAAACAATTTAAAAAAACAATTTAAAAAAAGTAACCCAGGGTATAGACACATTCTGTAGACCAGGCGAAGTCAGAGTCAGCTCATTTATATGGAAATTAGTCACTGAATGCAAACTGGCAAAATTGATTTTTTTTTTTGCTCTTATAAAGCCAATTTAGCTTAATAATTGTTGCTGGCGTTGTTCATTCTATGGCTTTTTTTGGAAGACTAGATGCAGGTAAAATGCTTTTGATTATTTTAGAGATGAAATTCTGCTCGTGAGTACCTGAGTGTAAGATGATATAACAAGCTCCATGAATTTAAATGCTGATGGTTTCTGACACAGCCAGGGAAGAGCTGGCATCAGGGACTGTCATTTTCCGAAATACTTCAGTTATGTACAAAGACACTGGGCTCTGTGAGTGAAGGAAATACCAAGTCTCTCTGTATCCATCTCTCTTTCTAGATCTCTGTCTCCCCTCCACCTGCCTTCGCCATACACACACACACACACACACACACACACACACACACACACCCCTCTCCACCTTTGCCCTGACTCTCACCATGGATTCTCATTCAACTGACCACTTCCCATGTGTTGCCATTTCTCTTTCCCGGGTGCTCTCACATCTAAGGAATAATTATCTGAACCTACTTAAGTGATAGGGATGTATCTCAGCTAATTTTTTGTCACCTCACAAACCAGGGTCATTTGGAGGGAGGAATATTAATTGAGAAAATGCCACCATAAGACGGACTTAGAAGCAAGTCTGTGGGGACATTTTCTTGATTAATGACAGATATGGGAGACCTGGCCAACTATGGGTAGTGCACCCTTGGACTGGTGGTCCTGGGGTATATAAGAAAACGGTCTGAGCAAGCCATGGAGAGCAAGTCAGTAAGCAGCACTTCGTCATGGCTTCTGTGTCCGTTCCTGCCTCCAGCTTCTGGACCTGAGTTTCTTTCCTAACTGACTGAGATAAGGAAGGACACGGAAGGTAAACAAGGCTTCTCCTCCTCACATTGCCTCTGTTCATGGTATTTTTGATTACAGTACAAGAGTGAAAACTAGAACACAGGCATGCACGAAACATGCATGACTGCATACAACACGGCTCGCCAGACAATTATCTAGGGTTTTTCAGACTGTTCAGATGACAAGGAGGGATTTTTCTTCTGTTGGACTAATCTGAATTACCCTATCCATCCCTTCCTTCCTCTTTTAATCCCTCCTTTTGTCTTTTCTTTCTTTCCTTCCTTTCTTAAGTGCTGGTATTAAACCCAGGGCCTCCTATTTGTCTAGGCAAGTGCTCTACCTCTGAGCTGAAACTGAACCCTGACTATTCTCTTTAAGGGAATGACTATCCTGTGCCAATTCCTTCAGGCTCCAGTGCCATGAAAATAGAGGTTGGAAACTAGCCAAGTTCATCTTATATGCAGAATACTGAAAAGGAAAAACTAATTTTAAACAGAGTAAGTCTATAAAAAGGTAAAATTTAAATTCTATAAGGTATTTTAAGAAAACACAGTAATATAAATACAGACTTCTGATTTAATCTGGGTCCTAAAAAATAAAACAGAAGAATCTTAAAGGAGACGCAGCCAGCGTATAAATACAGGCATGAAAACTATGGGAAGTCATCTATAATTACAACTGCTCCCTAGTGACTTCAGTCCAACACGGATGTTTCCTTACCCAATTAAGTGTGGATTCCACAGTACCAACATAGAGCAAACCAGGCACCCCTTCCCCGTGTTGGAATCTGCTATGTTTTCAAGTGTGAGCTGCTCACATGCTGATCCACCCAAGGAAAACCTCACCCACGTGTGGAAAGCCAGCAGAGCTCGGCATCACTTCTGGGCTCAGAAAGACTCCAAGGAAGAGAGCTAAAAAAGATGGCCTCAAACAACTGACTCCCATTGCGGGTCCTGACAAAGCAGTGTAAGGGAAGGTGGGGGTGCCGGAGGGATGATGAGCGGTGGGTGCACACCACTGCCAGTCTGTGGACTACTAGATCTGTACTCCTTTTTCTTGGATTCTGAGGTGCCACCCCCTCATCTTTCCTCCTATTTGGGTTTGTAGTTCAGGTCTAGTGTTTTTTCGTCTTCCTCTACTTACTCATACCACAGGAGGTACCGAGGGGGATCTTCTGTAGGCCCCGTTCATCTTCCCCCTCCCTCAGACACTGCCCCCATCTAACACTTCATGTGTGATTTACAGCTACAAGGCTCCATTTTTACTCAGAACCATTCCTGAAGTACCAGGCCATAGGCCCGATATCCCAGAGATCTGCTGATGGACACCAAAGGCTTGAGTTCAAGAGCTGAGTATCTGCCACGGTGCAATGTACCACACGCTCTCACCTCACCACATAACATAATCTTTGCTTAACCAAGTTGGTTTCCTCTTTTTTCCAGATACACAGTATTCTCTTCAACTTTAGGGCCTTTGTACATAAGGCGCCCTGCCTCTATGCTATTTGCCCATCTTCCTTCTGTATCTCCAGATCTCTGTTCCTCATCAACATGACTTCAGTTCAAATATCAACCATATGCAGCATATTTTCTGATTCTCTCACAGCACATTAAAGACACTAGCCATTCTGTGCCCTCATAATGCCGGGTTCTTCCTTTGCATGGCTTGTCTCACTAGGTTACTGTAGCAACAGTAACTGGAATGAGCTGAGGAGAAGACTGTCTCTCTTCCTGAGTGTCCTGAGTCCTGACACAAGGAAAATGATTACGGTGCTTTTGTCTTCTATTTCAAATATTTATTGTGGTGCTGTGGCCATAAATCAAATCAAATCATATCCATCTGTGAGAAGTCTGTCAGGTTTTGTGAGAAATCCAGAAAAGAGAAATATTTGTATGAAACAGGAAAGCAAATGTGCAGTTGGCGAGGTACAAGCTCTTCTAACACCAGGAGGGGAGGAATCGCTGCCTGAGCTCTGGTGCACCTTCCTGTGGATGGACCTGGCTTCTTGAGTGAGGACCGTGGAGCTCTCTGGCCTGATATGGATGTTCTATTTAGTTAGAAAAGCAAGGTAAAAAAAAATACAGTCCACAGAGACTACTTGCAAGGGCCGGTCCTTCCTCCCTGACTACAATCCCTAACAACCTAACGGCAGACCCAGCTTTTATCCTTTCTGTGGACCCTGCCAGTGCCCCCTTCTTAGACTGGCTCCATTCCTTTATGTTAGTCCCCAGTGCCTAGAAACACATTCTACCAGGGACTCCCAGTGGCCATCACTAGCAGGGACTCAGAAAGTTCTTCCTATCAGACAAGCCACAGCTAGACACAGTAGAATAAAATGATGGAAACAGCTCAACATGTGAAAGTAAAAAACAGAACCATTAAACAAAAGCCAAGCAGATAAAACCAAGAATAAAAATTTAGGATCTCAAACAAAAATTTCAGAAATAAACCTTACTAAAATATTATAAAACATGGAAGAGAGAATCTCAGGCATTGAAGACCAGAGAAAAGAAATGTTTACTTCTGTCAAGGACAATGATATAACTAAAAAACCCAGGCACAAAATAGCAAGAAAATCTGGGACACTATAAAAAGAAAAAATTCACAAATAAGAATGAAGGAAGGATAAAAAAAACATATCAAAGGCACAGAAAATCATAGAAGAATATTTCCCTAACCTCAAAAATGAGGTACCTATGCAGGCAGAAGAAGTACACAGACTACCATACAGGCTGATCCAGAAGAGAAATTCCCCATGGTACATAATCATCAAATCACTAAATTACAGAACAAAGAAAGAATATAAAAGTTGCAAGGGAAAGATTAAGTAACATATGAAGACAGATCTAGAATAACACCCAATTCTTAGTGGAGACTCTAAAAGCCAAAAGGGCCTGGACAGATGTTCTACAAACTGTAAGAGACTACAGATGCAGGCCAGACAACCATATACAACAAAAAATTCAATCATAGTAGAAAAACATTTCACAATAAAGCCAATCTGAAGCACTATTTATCCAAAAATCCAGCTCTATAAAAGGCATTAGAAGGAAACTTCAACCAGAAAACAAAAGAATAAATATTCCTAGACCATCAAATGAAAAGATGAGGAAAATAACCCACAGAGATAAAGGGAATCAACAAAGAGTGTAATCCACAAACATAACTCTCAACAACCATGGTCTCAATTCACTAAGAAGTCACTGACTAACAGATTGGATTTAAAAACAGAATCCATCTTTCCACTGCATCTAAAAAACACACTTTACCATGGAAGACAGACATCACCTCAGGGTAAAAGGACGGAAAAACACATTCCAAGCAAATGGGCCTAAGAAGCAAGCCGTCATAGCCATTTTAATATCTGACAACGCAGACTCACACAAAAACTAGTCAGAAGAGATAGGGAAGGACACTACATACTCATCAAAGGAAAAAAATCATTCTCCAAGAGGACATTGCTATTCTAAACATTATGTGTGAAATACAAGAGCACCCAAATTCTTAATAGAAAGACTTCTATGGCTAAAATAACACATTGACCCTCACACAGCGATAGTGGGAGACTTCAGTACCCCACTCATTCCAGTAGACAGGTCATCCAGACAAAAACTGAACAGGGAAATGCTGTAGCTGAATGATGTCATTAATCACACAGACCTAGCAGATATTCACAGAACATTTCATACAGGCACAAAAGAATATTCCTTCTCCTCAGCACCTCATGAAGCTGTCTTCAAAACTGATCACAATGCTTGTCACAAAGAGAGTCTCAACAGACACAAGAAAACTGAAAGAGCACTCTGCACCCTGTCAGAGCACCGTGGATTCAAGATGGAGGTCAACAACAACAGAAAACTTACTAACTCACAGAAACTGAACAATCACCGCTGAAT